GCAGGCAAAATATTACACAAAAAAACATTTTTAGATTTACCACTATTTTACACATAGAGAGGCTGAAGACACTACAGCTTCAGGATCAGTCCGGAACAGCTTATATACTGGAGTCTGGAAAGCTAAAAGAGCAGAATTTAGAATGAAACACAGAATTCATACCAGTATTAGTGTGAATTTATGAAAGAAAGAACTGCAATGCATACCACTATTACAGCTTACAACATACCGTTTCACTTCAGACTGCTTTGAATGGCTTTGATTACATCTTGGCCATTAAATTATGAACAAATTTTAAAAAATCTGTGGAATTCTCCTGTAAGCTTTGTGTTAGAATCTGCATTCAACCTAAAACTAAGCAAGAATTATTTAATATTTGCTAAGATGGGTATATTGCTCTTGTTGTTTTAACCTTCATGTAATTTTGAACCATGTTTTTAAATGGTGTGAAAAAATAAATAAACAAACAAAAAATGGAGTTGCAAGCTTTTGATATTATCTGTAATGTGCGTTACTTTTATAAAACTTGGAAGATTCTGCAACATGAGCTGACCATCTCGGACTGAGAGAATATCAAATACTCCTGTTAGCCCTTTAAACAAAAGAAAAGCACAGAAAGCCCCTATCTGTGCTGATTTGGCAGCTGCATCAATATTTGGGCAGCATTTATTCACAGCATCGTTTCTCAGAAAAGTGTTTATGAAGAAGTGGCTTCAGAGCTCGACCAATCCCACATCCCAGTTCAGCTCAGCTCAGTCCAGCTGTTTTGCAGAACTCCACAGCGGACCAGTGGAATATGACTGCACTGGGTCCATTACTGATGAGATTACATTAGTTTCCTTTCAGTGTGAGTGCTGCTGAATCAAATGCCAATCACAGTAATGCACAAAAACACAAGTGTAAGGTGAAGCATTCATTTGTCATAGTTAAGAAATTTGAGATTGTTTGAAGAGTTAAGTCTCTTACCAAATAAAATCCTGCATTAGCACTTCATGAAGTAAAGAACTGCTTATTCTATTCATTAAACAGTTATCCTTATCACAAGAAGAAAGAGAGATTACTGCTCTGGAAGGTGATCAGAAATCTTGAGCAAAACCTGTTTTAAAAAGTTTCACTTTTCTACTTGAGTTCTGGTTCTAACTTTGTTCTGCTTCAGCATTATGGCCTATTTCTCCTTACAAAGGCTAAAGAAACACAATACACCATCCAACAAAATTACTATCTATTTATATGACTGCTTGCAGCTCCGTTTTACTTTGTTTTAAAAGAGAGAGTGTTCAAAAAGGAAGAAAACCCAGACGAGGAACATGATTAGGGAGATGGCTCTTCTCTTTGTGTGATTCAGAAACAGGTCTATTTTAAGACGCTTTTGCCTTTAATCTTTCTCTAAAAACCCTTTCACAAGTGGTTGATCCCAACAGCTCCATTTAGCCAGTTCTGCTTATCATTATGATGATATGTTTGATGAAAAAGAAGAGGAAAAAAAGGGTTTTTCATTTCCCCAAAAAAGCATGTGTGATTTGCTCCTGAAGTGAGGAGCTGGAGCAGATTAACGCTCCCACACAGCAGAGCTTCGAGGCACCATATACCACACTGTTGCTCAGCAACCAATTACCTAAGATATGCACTTCCGCTCTGCAGATTAAGGGCACTACACTGCTACCTGCTCCTTAGTGTTTGTACTGATTGTTGCTTTTTCTGTCTTGATGACTGCTGGGTTGGGCTCTACATGGTACAGTGAATTTGCCTGTGTAGCTTCATTCACTAATATGTATTTTGAAGGCCATGTCCATTTTACAACAGACTAGTAATGTCACATACTTTTGCCAACAATTGAGCACTCTGGAAACATAAAATGACACTTTTGTTGATTTTTTAAATGAAAAAAGTTAACACATTCTCTCAAATAGGACATTTTTCTGCATATTTTAGTGCATGATTTCTATTTATATGCTGAATTTAACATATTAAAAGATACACAAATGTAAAATGTAACATTTGCCACTTTTCACAAGACGCATTGTATACTTTATTTTTTCCCAGTATGTTCAATTCAGCAAATAAACAGTAATTGTGCATTACACTGTGCAGTAGTGTGTTCTCTGTAGTGGATGTGTTCACTTTTCCTCTTGTGAAAATCAACAAAGCATGTAATTTGATCAGGGGTGCCCAAACTTTTGCAGATTACTGTAAATGCCTAAAGCAGTTGCTTGTTTGAGGAAATCTGGCATCTATACCCATTTTAAATCATGCACTTAAAATAAATGCCAAAAAGGGTTCTTTGGAGTGCTACCACAGAAGAACCAAATTTGTTTCCCAAAAGAACCTTCCATTTGATGTTTCTTTAAAGAATCACTTTTGTAAATCAGAGTGTAAAATCCTTTTAACCCCTTAAAATACATCCCAAGACTTAATATTTAGTAAATACACAGTCAATGAATCTGTCTGAGTTATTCTTTTATAGGAATCCACAGTAAAATTTTAGACCTGCTGGCAGGTTGTGGTCTTTAAAGGGATGATTCATTCTACTACTGAGGGCAACTTTAAAACAAGGAAAATGAGCTCAAAATAAGAATAAGATGAAATTTGATGTCTGCGTACTCTTTGCTCTATTCCTAAATTAACCAGCAAAAACTATGATAACTCTTTTGTTTGAATTTTTATTTTAGTGACTTTTAGTCATGTTGTGCATGAAGTGTCATTAAATTATAAAATTTTACTGTTAAAATTATTTTGAATTTTTTTATAACAAATCTTGTCACGGAATTTTTTTTATCAGTGGTGTTACAGAAACATAAAATGTCATTAAAAAATAAACAAACAAAACAGGGAGATCTCTTTGAATTACTTCTTGCATAGATTCCTCAAAGAAAGAAAACCTGACTTTGAAAAGTCCATGGTTTGTGAAATCTTTTGCTATATATTTGATAAATTTGGCTAAAATACTAAGAACCTCTTGTGTTGGAAAAAGATTGTGTCAGTGGTGTTACTTATAAAACACTAAGCCATTTTAAAATTGAAGTAAAATAACAACATGGATGGAATATTTGTAATTTTCTACATACAATGTGATAATGGGCTATATTTAAAAAAAGAAATTGTCAGTGGTGTGACCCTCAGTGGCGTTGCTGATGTTCAGTATAACAGATTACATTTTACATTTAGATATGTTTCACACAATTACACATGCCGTATGAAGGTTAATGAACCTTCACATAATGTAAAGGTTCAAAGCAAAGAACCATTTCAAAACTTGTCTTTTTTTTTATATGTTCCCAAAAACATTCATTTTAAATAAAATAAAGTAATACCACCAATTATGCTGACTACAACTGTATAACTGCTCAAAGCACATAGAACACAGAGAACGGGAGGAAAAAAATGTAGCTGGCACTTGACTGACCTTCGCATGGCTTGATTCTGCGCCAGAGCCACTTAACATTAAGTGCGAGGGAAGGAAAGAGAGAAAGGAAGATCCTTGCAGTTTCCAACTTTCCACATTGTTAAATAGGAATTCTCCAGCCTTCACAGGACTCTGAAAAATTTAGAGATCTATTTATGGCTCCCAGCTTGTTGAGATGAACATAGCTGAGACAATTTGAGTGAAATGTGGAAAAGCGTAAATAGGAAGGTGTGTTACTGTAAACTTTAGTACAATATACACACTATTAGGACAATATTTTGGACACCCATATAAAAACAGCAGGAAGGGAATTTTGAGTGGAAAACTACGGGCGGCTGTTTGTTGTTCAGACTTACCTTATGACCTTTCCGGCTGGCTTTATGTGTTGGCTGTAAATACAGGAGATGTTGCTCAATAAGCCTCAATAATAAGTGGGCCAGGCCCAAGCTACAGAGATAGCACAGGGGGATTATAGTAGCTGTTTTGGTTTATAGAAGTGAGGATACCATGTGCCATGTACACTGCACCGTAACAAATAATTGAAAACAATTATAGTTTTTGTATTCTTTGATAGCTTTTTATGCCATTGCATGAGTGTTAATCTGCTAATCGAGTCACCCATTACAGAACTGGCTCTCTGTGTGTTTTTCCTTTCTTTCTTTTCTTTGCTGAGTTGAACAGCTGCCCATCCTGTGCGTCTGATACTGCTGCCTCTTCTGCCTTGATCGGGTGCCACTGCTGCCAGCCCTCTAGACCGGCTTGACCACCATTGAGCTTCATGCTGTACAACGCCGTGCAACCTCACCCTCACATCCTGACCCCACTGATGCTGCTGCTGCATAAACTATACTAATCAAATTAATCATTGCTCCACCTGTTTTCCCCATTTTTGTACTAACAATGTTTACTATCCGTTGTCGACCAGAGGAGGATGGGTTCCCCTTCTGAGTCTTGGTTCCTCTCAAGGTTTCTTCCTGTTTCTCTTAGGGAGTTTTTCCTTACCACTGTCACCACTGGTTTGCTCATGGGGGCTTGGACCTGGATTTCTTTCTGTAATGCTGATTTTTTTGTAACGCTGCTTTGTGACAACACCTGTTGTAAAAAGCGCTATATAAATAAACTTTGCTTGCTTACTTGCTGAATGTCCCCACTAGACCTCCACATCCTGTCGCAATTCTTGAATCGCAATCTCCCTCATCCAGCAAAGCATAGGTGAGTGCAGAAATGTACCATTGAGAGCAGAATAGTGTGAGTACAGTAGAAACTTTATTAACAAAATGAAGGCAAAGCACAGATTAAGTGCACTACTAGATATTTATGAAGAGCTAGGTGCCACAACATCACCATGTACATTCTAAATCACGTATCCACACAGTGACTGCATAATATATTATTCCTTACGGGCTTTCGCAACACAAACAGCAGTTGAAACTCTTTAAATAGGCTTAAATAGATTGAACTATTAGGACATGACTCTTCTCTCTCAGTGCAGTTCCCTTCAGTGGCGCATTAGCATGATGAACAATACATTTCATGCAAGGGGCTGCTAGTAAGTATTGATCTAGGATCAGTCTCCCCACTTTCACTTATTAAAGAAAAAAGGAAAAAAGACTGGTCCCAGACCAGCACTTAAGGTCACTCTTTATAACAAACAGTGGTACAGTAGACTACTGACTGACAGGACAATATGGGTGCAGGGTAGGCACAGCAGTGCTGCCCTCTATTGGGCAGGAGGATACAGCAAATAAGTAGCAGGGCTGCTCAGGCATAACTAGGCTAGTGCCCACTGAAGGATGCTGGTGTCCTTCCCTCCAGTGGAGATGAGGTGACTATCATCATGGAGAAAGGCAACGTTGGTCACGTGGCTGCTGTGTCCACCATATACATGACTAGGTGCCTGGTAGCATGAGGAGAGAGCAGATTTTACAGACTGAATTAAATTTCTACAACATGTGTTAATGTGTTTGCACAGATGAGTACAGGAAGCTCACCCTTGGCTGAGAACAGGGGTTAGAGAACAAGTGCACTTTGCCGAAATCATCGCCCGTGGCCAGTACGCCACGGTCATTTGACCTGCAAACAGCATTGATGTCTGTGCCATCAGCACCGTCTGGCCAGATGCCTAGCAACATGAGATGAAGAAAAATATTTTCACAACATAGGAAGACTCTTAGCTTAAGCTCAACTGCAATTTTACAGGACTTAATGAGTCCATATCATGGAAAACTTTCCTCATGAAGTTTGATATAAAAGGAGTTTCATGTAGTGTGCAACATTGTTACACCAAAAAAACTCTGGTCCATTCAGTCTATACATGGAAACTAAACTAAAAAACAGCTAATTTTGAATTGTTTTTGTGATGTCACACTGAATTTACAAGTACTGAATTTACACATCTCCATCAATTCATCCTTCAGCATGTTAGCTATGCCCACTTGCACTGAAGGTATAAGGAGTGTTTGAATGGACCGCTTTTTGAAAGACAAAATAAACGGCAGGCAATCAGTATAGAGATAATTGATGCAAAAGCACAGTAACAAAAATGAACTGTTTAATTCTAAGGAACAAAGAAAGGTTGGAAAATGGAAATGTAAAATGTAAAAATGAATTAGGACCTTTTTGGTACATAAAACCACACAGAACTACACATAACATTCATGCTTGTCGATCCATTTTTACACCCTTAGATTATAATTCTCTGATTGTTAAGTGACTGTGCTGAAATCTGACTCACCAAAGACACTAAAACTCAGCACACAAGTGGAAGTGGCCCACTCCAAGTTGCGCACTACGTCTGCACTCGTAATATGCTTCCCACTTGAGGCCTCCCCTTTAGAACAGAGGCCGTGCAGGTTAGAAAATGAAAGCTAATCTCCATGAACTGTTATGAAGATCTCAAGGTGACAAAACAACTCACAGAACAAGATCTCATAGTCTCCTGAGTTGGTGACAATATACTGGCTGTTGGTGGACCAGTCTAAGTGGGTGACAAAACTGGAATGTCCCTGGATGGGCAGACAGACAGCAGTGAGTATAAAATAGGTGGGCAAGATGCCATATAATATGGGATCAGATTTGTTCAAATGACTTACAGTGCATTTGCCGGCACGGCTGTATTTTCTCCCATCCTCAGACACAGTATAGATGTAAACGAAATTGTCATGGGAACCCACGGCTAGGTATGCTCCATCTATGAAAAAGAGTACTGGTGTTGAATACAGAGCGCACTCTGACCAGTGCATGCTGATTTGAATGCCAGTGCTGACGCAAAATGGTAGCTTTGCTTATTTGAATCGCTTTGTTTATATGCACTGATTGAAGAAGTCTTTGTGCAAGAAGATTTGGGCGAAGGTTCTTAAAAAAAAAAGTTGAACTGAAGTTCTTAAAATTCTGCATACTTGGAGAGTACTTGACGATGGAGATGATTTCATTGCCATCGGTATGCATAGAAATAAGGTCCCTGGTGTCAGTGTCCAGCACCAACCACCTACAGGATGGACAAAGATAACGAATCATGCCTGCTGTTCTGAACAGTTAAGTAAGATGACCACATTAAATTACATGAATAAACTAGTCTAAAAATTACAGTTGCATTTATACTAATAGCTAAAACGTAATGTAAATCAGAAATTGATCTGAAGGTCATAATGAAGGGTGTCTAATGTTTTTTTGTCTTTTTGCATAGAAGTACTTCATGATCGTACTTGTTGTTTTGACCACATGTTATAACCCCCATGTTCAGTCATACCTTCCAGTCATGGTGCCCACAGCAAGCACAGTGCCGCTCGGGTGGAAGCCAGCAGAACGGCCAGGGTCCTGGAGGCCAGAGAACGTCAACAATGAGTTGGTAAATATAGCAAGCAACAGCTATGGTGACAACACAACTCATTAGAAGGTAAACTCATGGAGCTAGCTCACCAAAGTGATATGTCTCTCCAAAATCTTTAGGTAGCAGAAAAGCAGTATGGCAGGTCAAAAGACCTCAGACCGCCACTATGACTCCCTGTATTATATTTCTTTGTACAAGTACAAACCTCGATGACCTTGCTCCACAGAGGTTGGTGGGAGTTGGTGTCCCACAGGTGGACCTGCTTGTCTTGGCCACAGGTCACAAACTGTTCAATGCTGGGGTGCACATCCAGTCCCCACAGCTCATCTGTGTGTCCCTGTCAGAGCACAAAGAGAGAGAGTCTTAAGAATACTTAATTTAATAGGCTTTTATACAAAATGAGTCTGCCTTAAACAATGTTTAACAACATTCTTTAATTTCAACTTTACCTGAACAATAGGTGTAAGAGTACCAGAGAAAGAGCCTTGCAGAATGGCGTTTCTGGTTGTTCCCACAAACAGCTCCTCTTGTTTTCCCTCGGCTAAAGTGCGGACAGGCCCAAAAGCCTCAGGAACCTGGACAAGAGCAGGAAAATTTACATCCAGCCTTTTTTTTGGTAATACAAGGATCAGAATGCTCCTCAGTTACACATTGATTTTCCACACTTAAATTAAGCTGGTAATAGGATCAATACTATAATCATTCAATTAATTCAAAGGAGTTCCATTGTTTTTTCACAACTGCTGCATTATCTATTCATTAAGATGTAAACAAAGTCATTTAGGGTGGTTTGATATGAAATGTGTGAATCTAAAGAAAATCAAACTTATTGACAGCAGTGGTGACAGGAACCAGACGTCTGAAGTGTTTAATGTCTCTAAAAGCTACATCATAGAAAGTTATTATATGAAATGGTTACCAGTATGTTGCCAGATATATTGCCTGAGATATTGTTTTATGATAGTTTTAAGATAAGCTTTTTGTTTTTTTTTTTAAGTGTCACCGCTGTAAAGAAACCACAAGTCGATACATTTCTCTTCAATAAACCATTTCACATCAAACCTGTCTGAATGGCTTTGTATACATCTCAATAATTGATTTGTGAAGAAATTTCCCTTTAAGTGACTAAAATATAAATTTATTGTGCACCGACCGGCCATTTCTTTAAAACCACCTCTTTGTTTCTTGACTCATTGTCCATTTTATCAGCTCCACTTACCATATAGGAGCACTTTAATGGTCAGGATCAGCACTGCAGTGACACGGATGTGGTGGTGGCGTGTTGGTGTGTGTTGCGCTGGTACAAGTGGATCAGACACAGCAGTGCTGCTGGAGTTTTTAAACACCTCAGTGTCACTGCTGGACTGAGAACAGTCCACTAACCAAAAATAAACAGCCAAGAGCGTCCAGTGGGCAGCATCCTGTGACCACTGATGAAGGACTAGAGGATGACCAACACAAGCTCTGCAGCAGCAGATGAGCTATCGTCTCTCACTTTACATCTACAAGGTGTATCTAATAGAGCAGACATTGAGTGAACACTGTGTTTAAAAACTCCAGCAGCACTGCTGTGTCTGATCCACTCGTACCAGCACAACACACACTAACACACCACCACCACGTCAGTGTCACTGCGGTGCTGAGAATGATCCACCACCCAAATAAAACCTGCTCTGCGGTGGTGCTGTAGGGGTCATGATCAATGTAGAACAGGGTAAAAGAGGACTAATAAAGTATGCACAGCAACAGATGGACTACAGTCTGTAACTGTAGAACTATGAAGTGCACCTATATGGTAAGTGGAGCTGATAAAATGGACAAAGAGCATAAAAACAAGGAGATGGTTTTAATGAAGTGGCCGGTCAGTGTATATAACCTAACACTGAATTATATATTTACTTCAAGCATTAAGGTTTGCGCAATATACATGGGGTTTGTACAAAGACTCAAAATATTGCACAAGTTGTTAAAAAGTAAACCAAATGAAGAGGATAAGATGCCCTTCCAAAGGTGTTCAGTTTTGCCTTAGGAAATAGCATGTCTGGTCTTATATGGTCTTATATTCACTGATATAATTAACAAAGGTTAAATGCACAAGGAGGACTGGTAATGTCAAATTAAACCTGCCATCCTCTAAATTTTAGTCACAGTCTCATCTACGTCTGGTTTCCTCTAATTTTGAACACTCTCTTTAAAAAGACACTATGTTACAAAACAACAAAGGTGATGCTGACACTTTGTTTACTATAAAGGGTTTGGAGAGAAATTGCCCCCTTTACATTTATAGACAGAGCACTAGATACAAGGACCAGTAGTTGGCAGGATGATGAAACATGTTGGAGGGCTCTAATAGCTTTGTTTACACTAGGATTGTTTCTAGACAGTGGAAAACCTTCCTTTTGGCTCAGGAAGGGGCAAGAAAGCTCTTGAGGAATATACAAGCTTTTGTCTTCAGGAGTAAATGTTTATATTTAATAAAGTTACTGTAAAACATCTCTTTAAAAATCAGTGCATGGCTATAAAAGAAGACATTTTAGAACATCAAGAAATTAAGACTAAAGCAATTTCCACGTTCATTAATGTATATTAAATAAATTACAATTACAACTGATGTCACTCTAAGCCCCCCCCCCAAAAAAACCTTTAGAGTACAAGATTTTTAGCATGAATAAAATCCATAAACAAGAGAAATGCATTTGCTGGAACACATGTTCACTGTTTACTTTCACTTTATAGAAACAAGAAAGACTTGATTTATCTTAGACATCCTTTCTAAATACACTGATGGAAAATATTTTTATTCACATTTATCTTGAACATATTTGGTCATTTGATAAGACCAAGGCTGGATCATCCACAGTAGACAGTTGTCTGCTGTAAAGGAAGTTCTTTGTTATGAAAATACACACATTAATGTTGTGTTACACCCATACCTCCATCTCGCTCTGCTTATGGTATTCATGGTCCCACAGCACCACCTTGCGGTCTTTTCCTCCTCCAGATACCAGCCTACCGTCCTTCAGCACACACACGGAGAAGATCCCACCTTCATGAGCTCCTGCCACCACCTGGCTGATTCTGTTACCACCTGTCCATCAAACACCACCATCAAAATCACAGATCATGCTAAAAGAGGGTGTCCACTAATACCATTTGAGAATAAAATCTGATTTGTTTTAGAATTGTCTTGTTTTCTTCTATGAACTGAAGATTTTAATGACTGCTCAGCAATCATTATAATTATGTATTATCCAACAGAGACACCACGAAGGATCTTCAGGGCCATGTGCTTAAACCCTCCCGTAATCCCTATCAAGACTGTGTGGCAATGCATAACGCCGATTAAGTCATCAACTTTGAGGTTGACATTGGTGTTGTTGGGCTGATATCCAGTGGCAAACCATGACTATTAGAGCTAGCCCCTTAGTTAGGGCCGTAAATATATAAAAACTCCACCAAAAACGATAAAAAAGACACTTCTGTGATTCCACACGTGGATTCTAATAGTATATCAATGCTCCAGTTTAACAGCAAATCACATGAAAATTTTTTGGCTGTTCAAGATTAAACACAGATATCTGAAGCTTGTAAAAGACATTACGTTTTGGGCACCAACATTAATATTTTATGTAAAGTTTTACAATGACTCAGTAAAGAGCCTTCGCATAGAGGTGCAGCTGCTGTTTTCCTTTTTCTAACAAATGACTGAAACTAGGTTTAACTATGGTTCGTAATCACAATCAGTGATATATCTAAGACTAAGATCTAAAAGGCAATTAAGACTTATTAATTACTATATCAAGCATGACACGTTTACAACAAGCATGATGATTCTATTAAAAAAATAACTAAAAATTACAAACATCAATTTTTTTATTTCACAGAAATCATTATGCATTCTCTGAAGGAAGGCCTGGAAGGCCCTGAATTTGACCTAACTGTTGCCATCATGTAAACAAGTTGAAGAAAAATCAGATAGATCATGCCCCCCCTCCTTACATCAGCTGGTTTGCCGATGAGAGAGCCAAAAAATTTAAGCACCCGAGGATTTACATCTTGCAATTTGCATATTTGTCAAACACTCCTTCCCAAGTGAAGAAGCCAAAACTACTGAGACAAGCTGATCAGCCTTCCCCTTCACTGCCTGTATGGAGTCATGGCAGAAAGCATAACCAGCATTACAAGAATAGATCAACAAAACATCAAAGTTAAACAGCGAGACCAAAAAGTAGTCAATGAGTCAAAACATATTTTGTCCATTTCTATATATAACAGTATGCCATGCAAGTCTATGAGCAAGTCTATTTAAGATTACTTAACAACTTGATGCAGATTGAGGCATGAGTGTGATGATTAAGACATGAAGTTTGCACAATGCTATTTAGTGGAGTATAAGCTTTTTCCATGACTTGTTAGCTACATTAGCCTTGTAGGTCCAGTGAACATATAAAAAGCAAACTTTGGACACCAAACATGTCTTGGCTTATCCACTTGGTATAAGAGCAAAATTATGTAACTTTGATTTCTCGCCAAGATCTTTCAATAAGGCTTGGCAAGGCAACAACTCTATAAGAGCAAAAACTTCCCATTCATTCCCAACAACTACAAGAAATGCTGCAAGAGGAGGGTGCGCAGTATGATCAGGAACCACGCACGCCAGTCAAAACCACTGTCTCTGGTTTCCAACCACAAGCCCTCCGATTTCACAACCCATCTTTCTACACCATAACTATGCACTAGTACTAGTTATTGGTTAGTGTTACTGTTTCGTGCATATTTATGCTTATAATCTTAGTATTAGCCTCTGTATTTTCTTGTTCAAAGTTTTTTTTTTCTCAATATTAACCTTGGCACTGTAAATCTACTGTTTATTGCCCCTCTGTATTGTCTGTTACTATTTAATTAGTGCCCATGACTCATGTACCTAACAGGGGGAAACGCAACGTCATTTCTGTGGTATGCTTTTGTGCAGTGGATAAGACAATAAAGTGGACTCTTAGAAGAGTGTATATTGCATTGCTCTTCTAAAAGGTGTACAATGGCTTTTACAAAAGTAAAAAAAAATATATGTAGAAATTCTTTTGGCATGCAGAGACACACTGATTCCCAACCTTTAGCCCAGATGTAGATGTTTCCACTGGAGTCCCCTGTTATTGCATCACCATTCTCAGCAAAAGCAACACACAAAACATACTTGGGTTTCTCATGTTTCTGAAAAAAAAGAAACCCAAAAGTTTCAATCACAGAACATAACTGAAAATTCTAAATACATAATATACAAATTATGGGTGCAACTAACACATGTTCATGTTCATGGCAAATAAACATGATTTTGAACATTTTTAAGTATTCTCACTGTCAGTTTCTCCAGAAGGAAAACACTTTAAGAGACCAAGAACCCCACAAACCTCAAACAGTCCCTGCCGCTTGGTCAGAGTGTTCCCCTCTATAGTCCAGAAATTGAGGTGGGACTTTCCACAGGTGACAATCAAGTTGGCCTCCATGGGGTGGAAGACAGCCCCCAGTACAGAATCATTGGAGCACTACATGATGAAGAACAGCACAAGACATTTTCTGAACTTTCAATCAGAAGGTGATTTTAAAAAGGCCTTCCCATTCAATTTAATAAAGGTGCAATCTCTTAATACAAACTCAGTAATGAAGCACTCTTCTGTTTTCTTATATGTAGTAGCTTCACATTAAGCAAACTACTTTACAATCCAATTCTGTCTGTCTAGTTAAATGGACCAAAGAGCCATAAATGCACTGGTACTTCTGCTCTAATAAGCACTGCATAAAGGCTACTTTTGCTAAACACTTCTTGGGTATGCAGGGGAAATGGTATGTCAAGATACGCTTACCACAGACCAGAGCACTCAGTGCAGGGAAGCAGCAGCCACTTTGCATTCATTATGTCCTATATCTGCCAACTTATAGCTGATGTGTTTTTCCCCCATTCTTCTTTCATGTTAGCACTAATCACTAACCACTAATGTTCTGGGTTTGATGCATTTTGATAGATGAGGGTGTACTACTCTATTCTACTCTCACTTTGCACTGAAAGGTTGTCAGTCAGATGATCTCACCTTAACATCAGCAAGTTGCTTCTCTTTCTGCCAGTCCCAAACAGACAGGATGTGGTCATTTGCATCATCAACTGCACACAGATGGGCGCCACCATTCTGGAGGTGTGGAGAGATATGCCACTATCTGTCCATTCATTCATATATTTATTCATTCCCAAATAGAGGTGTGAAAATGCATAGATCCGAAGGTATCAATTCAAGGGCATCAATTTAGAAATGTTAGAATTTCTTATCATAGTTAATGAAAATCAGCTACATATCAATTAACTATTTATCAATATTCTATTTATTAATATCTAGCAGTTCAAAATTTAACATTTTGGTCAAAATAAACTCTTCAACAAAAATAAATATTCACTATATACAGACTGTTTTTGCCTTTAAGAGTGATTCATATTAATAACCTCTGTACTGACTGGTTGCCCTGTATTGTATCTCATTTAAAAAGCAGTCTAGACTTCAAAGTGGATAGAAATTATTCCACTTAGGGACAGGATTGAGTGTGGAGTTCATGGCACATTTAAAACATTGACAATGTTTATATACTACATCAAATTTAAATAAAGCAAGGAAATTTTGAATATGTGCCCTTTAACGTTTCATGATGCATTGAACCGTTGTTGTAAACTGAGATTTTGCATCCCTATTACTAAAGGATTTTATTCTATATGCGAACCTCTCACATACACTCTGGTAGTCATATTTACAATTAGATTAATAACTCCCCTGCAAATTCACCTGAAACTAGTCCTTTAAATACAACATACCGATTTGGAGAAGGCCACACAGGTGACAGCACGGTCAAACACACCCATTCCAATCACATGCAGTGTGTTCAGGCTGACAGAGTCCCATACACGAACATGTGGAGCCAACAGCTTTTGGAGAGAATCCAAGAGAAAACAAGCATTAAACAGTTCCATTCAGAGCTCCATCAAGGATAAATGCCATTGACTACAACAAAGTTCCACATCGAAGGTTTTTTTTTTAAGAAATAAATTCTGAGAGCACAAAAACCACTGCTTCAAAGCAATACAATGTAAACACAAACCTTACCTTGCCATCTTTGGATGTTCCAGCAACTTGTCCTGTCGCTATGGTGACCATGTCTGGATGCACAGCCAAACTACAAAGAGAACAATGTGGTGGTCTGTTAAGATTTCTCATCCCTTTCTCATTTCTCATTCCAAAGCACACAAACATTTTTCATTCTAGTCACCCAATGCAGTAGATAAATACAAGTTGACTTTAATGTTATTTAATCAACTTTTTAAATAAATGGACCAGCAAACTAGTAATGAAATTTCAACAAATAGCAGGAGAGGTCTATAAAAACAAACTTTTTCACTTGATGTTAAAATGTAAACTACAGAAAATAGAGTAAAGTAGTTTCTAAGCAGATATAGCTCATCTGTTATACTATGGACTTCAAAGACACATGTAGACCAGATAAGGGGCATCATGTTTTAATAAGAAGATAAGCCTAAGATTTGCATTAAATAATCCTATCAAGGTGGTCGAGCACAAAAGACAAAGTATTTCATACACAACAGTCGTAGTTTCTGTGCAGGCTTATTTGAATATAATATTGAAATAGCTTATCTACGAGATAGGAGTCTATTGTATGGTGTCATGAGTAATAGGGAAAAAGCAGCGCTGGCTCTTGTGAATGCAAATTAGGTCACAAACCAGCTTCACTTCCTTCCTGTTATTCCTGTGCACGGATAACAGTTGTGGATTAAAAAGTGAAGCTTAGATGATCAAGAGCTGTGATAAAAGTAGAGCACTTGTACGCCTTTAATCAGTGATAATGGCGAGGTTAATTTACATAGGGTACAGAAGAAGATTCATGGTCTATGACTTAAAGCGATAGTTTGGTTAAAAATCAAACTGACACTGTTTTCCATCTACCAAACGTGGCCGATAAATATCAGAGGTTTGCTTCTTTAGTTTTGCACAGGAGCTTTGAGGCTAATGTAGATAACAAGTAATGGAAACGTATACCCTAGTAATTATGATCATGAAACTGCATACCTAGTCCAACACACTTGCCTCAAACCTCATAAAGTGCTTAAGTATCTTCAATTAGACTTGCTTATGCAGTTCTGACACTGTATGTTATCTATAAAGAAAAGCACATTGCAAAGCTGAACACAGTAGTAACGTATCTTAAAGCATTTTTAAATGGCCCTTTTACAGACAACAGTCTATACAGTGTCAGAAACCACAGAAGTATGCCTGTTTGAGATTACTTTATATAGTTGTATGCAGAAGTTTGGGCACCCCGGTCAAATTACATGTTTTGTAAAAATATATGAATTTGCAAATATATATGAATTGTGTACCACACTTTGCAGAAAAATACCATGTTTAAGTTTGAAAGTTTCATTAGAAAATCAACAAAACATGTAATATGGCCTGAGCTGTATAAACCTTTGCATACTACTATAACTCAAGATGGCTTGAGATAATCATGTGATGATTTAAGAATGCATTTTGCACTGTGCTAAACAGTGTGCATACACCTTCATTCTTTATTACTGCAACACCTCAGTATGTTGTGGCCGACTGACTACAATTAGAGTAAAAGGGAAAATTGTGTAAATCTGATTTTACACAAACTCTCTCTGTACAACTGCATTTTAGGTATCCTTTGGTACCCTAACAAGTCCCACCACAAAACACAGATGTTTACCACTTGACATCATCATTGTGGCCCAGGTAGTGTCTCTGCTGCTGCTCCTCCACGTTATACAGCACCACCACAGAGGCATTGAAGTAGACAATCTCTCCCGTGGGTAGCAGGTAGAGGTTAGAGCGGCAGTCTCGACCCCTGTAGCCATACCTGACAGACTGAGTTAAGGTAAATAGGGCCAAAATTTTGGTAGAAATGAAGTGTGAAGCATAAGATACGTAAAACATTAAAACCACTCATACATACAGTTCTATTAAACCTATAGCAGCAGTGCTGGGGATTCACATAAAATAGGCAGCAACAGCTTGAAATGACATGGTATACCCACTGTACAGAATATACCTTTGTATCATGAGTCATAGTGCAACATGTTTCAAGGATACACCCACTGAAGCTTCAGCTTGCGCTCAGGCAGTGCCACCTTGTGGTCAAGGCTGTAGCTGTCTCTCAGCTGGTCTGGAATATGCATGGTGACTGGACGGCCACGTAGAAACATCCTCACATAGCGATCCTCTGTTTAGTAAAGGACATAAACATGAGCTGCTTTGGATAACTTTTGCTTTCCTCAATGACATTTATGTCAAAAATGTCAGACTTCATATATCTGAACTGAATACTGACATTCACCAAAATATTTTATAAACTAGAAAAACAAAGTCTAATTCTCAGGGTAATAATAGTCCATTACCCTACAAGCCGTTCTCATTCAGGGCATTATGTCAAACCATAATGGTTTTCATCTGCATCCTTTGCAATAAAGTCAACAAATCAAGCCAGCCTAATCTCCATGGAGCCTCTCCCGTTCTCCTGGGCCTGGGTTTACCCTTCACCATGATCAAATAAAACCATGTTCTGGGAAGAGAGGAGCCCACTAATGGGCTAATTAAGAATGTATACCGCTTCTAACCAAAGGGCTATTGTTTATTTTTTCCCCTGACTGAACACCCTCTGCTCTTAAAAAAATAAAAAGATGCCACAAAAGGTTCTTTGAGCAATGCCATAGAAGAACCATTTTAGTTTCCTAAAGAACCATATTTGTAAATGAGATGTGAGTGAGAAGGTTTAAAGGACATTCACATAATGTAAGTTCTTAGCCAATGTAAAGGTTCTTCCTAGAATCTTTGCACTAAACTGAGGTACTTTAAACTTGAAAGAGGTGCTTCACACTTACATCTCATTTAATAACATGATTTACTTAAGAACCAACAATTGAAAGGTTCTTTAGGGAACCAAAAACAGCTTTTCTATGGCACTGAGCAGAGAATCCTTTTTGGCACCTTTCTTTTGTGTGTGGGGGCGGGGGTACATTTATTCTTTGCACATGTTTGAGTTAGTAGTAAAAGATTGAAACAAAACATGCAATTTTCTAAAAATAAAATGTAAAAAATTAAAGCTGTAGATGATGAAGGCTTTATCATAACTGAAAAAATAATATGTAGGATTTTCCTCCTCACTAGCTTTGTGATGAGAGAGGCTGTACCACGAGTTTAGCACCAGTGCATCTGATTGCTATTGTTATTTGTGTATGGCGTTGGTGCAACAGTGTCAATATATGAAAAAGCTGAGGGCTAGGACTTGTCTGACAACCACCAGCGTACAGATTCAAGGTCAAACCAAACACCTACTGTGCATAGACTTACCAGCATTGAGGGTACACTCTTTGGATTTACTGAAAGAAAACAAAAAAGATTTGAAGTTGTATGTACATCATATATCATTTATCATATTCAGAGGTGGGTAGTAATTAGTTACATTTTGATGGAACTGTACTTTTCTGAATATTTTCAAATGATGATATATATATGATATATTTATACTTAAGTATATTTATGAGGAAAGTAAGCTACTTTCTAATCAGTATCCCTTTACGTTGAGCTCTTTTTTGTGTTTCATTTCTTTCTTTTTTGTTGGTTTTCCATCTGGACTGCTTTTCTGTTTGCTTTACCATTTTATTTTCAACAAAAAGCATCACAAAAAGTGAAGAACAGATTCGAACAAACTTCAGTTCCTATGCTGATTGATGCTGGATGACATTTATGACACTTTTTCATTTGTTTTTGCTAAGGAAATTACACTTCATTTATTAAAGTATATATACTTTTTGCTTGAGTAGAGGTTTATGCTACTCTACCCACCTCAGATATTTAATATATATTGCACAACAATATCACAGTGTCTTAAAGCAGACCTGTAAAGAGTAGGAAAGATGAGTTAGGCTATCTTTTACTTGTCAGTGGTGTTTTTGCAGGGGGTTAAATAATTCAGTAAGCTCATCCTTTACTGCTGAGCCTGCCTAGCTCCATTCATAAAGCACTAATATGCTGAACAGCTGAATACATGCCAAGGCAGGACAAAGGGAAAGGGTCAGTGAAAACTGCCTATAACTTTCACATGCAAAATGTACATCAATATATACTGGTCTATGAGGAAATTCAATTGTAGTATGAAATTAATTTGGAAGACTGTCTTGCATAGACAGAAAGAAAGACAGACCCACACAAAGACACTTGTCTATAGTTACGGCCTATTATTATTTTGTGTGCATGTGCATATGTGTATGTGTTAGGAGGTCAGTCCACTGACTCACAAACTGTGTCCCTCTATGTCAGTGAAAAAGTAAAAAGGATGTCAGTTTGATTGTCAGGCTGCTCCATCACAGCAGGAAATAGATGGTACCTGCTGACACAGCAGCACTCAGCAAAATAATTTAAAGACAATACTGCACATAACACATTCAGGAGCTTTCATTTATAGACTATTTAAAAAGAAAATTATACATTAGCAAATGTCAGGTATACTTAAGAAAAAAGAGAACATTCATTTATTACGGGTGTAAGGGAAGCCCTGTAGCAAGGCTGTGGCTGATCAAACAGAAACTGTCTTACAATGGGGTAACTGTAGCCCTTTCCAAAATTAGGACAGTTGGCCTGGAATTATGTAAACCATAGAAAGCCTTCAATTAAGGCAAAGCTTCAATCAGAAAGGACCACAAAGGAGTGAGCATTCCTCCTACAGTTCATTCAGCATGATGTATGCCTGCAAACATACTCTACAGTACAGTATTTTGCTTTGATATTAATGAATTGTAAAAAAACAAAGAACAGAAGTGTCAAATTTCATTCAAATTTCAAAGCAAATTCAAAGATGAAAAAACTGAGGTAGTGAGGAAGTGAGCCTTGTGATTAGCATAGTTTCTAAAGTCAACAAAAGTTGCAATGTAATGGCTTAGAAGGACAATATAGGACAGTAGGAATTCTGTACAGCACGGAATAACTGAGAATACACTGATACAACATTGGAGCATAAGCTAATACATAAGAAAAAAATGTTGATAAATAAGATTTGTCTCCTAGTTGAAAAAATAGAAAATATGTTGATACTGAAATGAACCTAACATGATTCAATTCAACCTCACACTAGGTTTACTCCTTCCTGCAGAATGCAATGAATCTAATTTACAGACAGCAGGCTGCTGTAGGGAGTCAATATGCTTAATGCATTTGGCTAAGCGGGGGTGGAGGGTGGGGGGCAATCAATGGTCAATCAGAAGAGAATGCTAAATCAGCAGTCCACTGAGGCATCCACTGAGCATTGCACGCAACAAGATTTCTGCATGTGTCTGACATTATTGTAAGCAAGAAAACAAAACCAGATGGTAACATGCACTTCTTTGTGTAATGACTCATGCGTAATTATTTAAGGCTGTGAATAAAAAAGTCGAGGCAGCCAAGTGACTTCTCAACCACAAGAAGGGACTTCAGAACCACAAAGTGGAAGCTGAAGGACTGAATTTTCTAAAGTACTGATGGAGGAAGTTTTGAATGCATAAACAAACACAGGAAATGTCTACATTTAAATTATGAAAATAATTTGTCTGTAGTATAATTTGCTTATAAAATGGAGTCAAATGTACATTACTTTGGCTCAAAATAAGATACAGAAATTGTAGCCAAAAATGAGGATTCTGTCACTGAAAGTTTATGATGACATGTACATACATACATTTAAAGTAAGCAAAAAAAGCTTCACAAATCCTCACCGTAGCTTTAAAAGAGGCAAATCATTTTATATCAGTTTTCACTTCCTAAATCTCATAGACACAAAATGATAAAGTAAACAGTTAACTCTCTTTGAAAAGGCATGGATTGGGCTTAGAGTGTTACAGTAGGTTTAGGAGTATGCTACCAGTTGTTGTTTGTCTACAAAAGTCTTAAAGTCTTACATTTAGAGACTCAAAGTTTGTTGCAGAGCTACTTTACATTTTCTATGGTAACCTTCATGCATTTGGGAACAATGTACCAACAGCCTTAACCTAATTTAACAGCACAAAAAACCTACTAAACTACCAAAAAGCACTCATTTGAGAGCAAACATTACCTGAAATACTTAGATCAGAATCAGAATCAGAACAGGAAGAGTTTACCTGGGCGATTTCTTCATGGTTCTTTTTTCTTTTATGTAATGAACGGTGCTAGCGGGACTTTGCAAACAGAGGCCGACACGCAACAGAGAAGTTCCTTGTTTGAGAGAACTTAAGCCCTGTACGAGTGTGACTCTATTCAGCCAATGGTAACACACTTCCTCACCCCGCATGACTGCCCCTTTCTAAGTGAACACACCCACCTACACTTCAGTGCAGTAGCATGACAAGCTCACCACTGGTGTTGGCCAAGCCTCTGCACACAGCTTCCATGTGTTATTCAGTGCTCTTATCTCAGGGTACATAAATCTGAATTTTAGTGCAGAAGTAGCTGCTGTTCAAACAATTTGCAGCTGTTCATTGATAATATCTGTCTGATGTGGTAGTTAACTCTTTCTGTGACTAGCTGGTAAAAAGGTGGAGGTGGTTTGTGAAACCTGATCTTCATACAAGGTTTTATGTTACCAGATGACAAACCACTCCCACTTTTATTCTCCACCTTAGAGTGAATACGATACAACAGGAACAACTGCTGGAGACTCACACACACACAAAACAGTTGTATCCTTTGGACAGAAAAACTGAAGCAGAACCCGGAATACCTGTAATTTAGAAAGTAGTACTCATTTCTAACTTGTGAAGGGACGGTAGAATGGAAAAGTATGCATCGAAGTTTAAATAGCAAAGCCACCCACACATAAGGTAATGTATTGGAAATAAATTACAATAAAGACTATTTATATTTTGGAACATTCAGACAATATATAAAAATATATTTAATGTTCACAGGGGCACTAGAGTTCAAACTAGTAATAAGACAGTATTTGATTAATTTATTTTAGGTGAACAACCAAAGAGTGCTTCTGTGAATTATCTATTTGTCTATCTATATATATATCTATATGTTTCTTCACTGTATACAAACATACCCCATACTGCTGTTTAGGGGTGGAAGATTTAAAATATATCATGATACAAAAATATATTATGATCCTTGAAGACATTTTTATGATACACAGTGTATATCATTACCCTTTTATTTTTCTGAGCTTTGATTGCTTGGAACAGTCACAATACACTAGGTCAGGGTGATATCTAAAGAAATCAGATCATTTTAGTTTAGCAACTTCTATTACTAACCTATTCCACCTCTCGTTTGAAATTTGAGAGCTCTGGTGCTCTGGATCTGCTAGTATGGGTTCTTGGCTGGTTCTTCTCTTTAAATGAATACTAAATAGCATAAAAGTGACTTGCATGCTAATAGCTCCCCTTGTGGAAATGCTTCAGGCTGCTAAACGAGTGCAAGTCAGTAAATTCCTAAGCCACATCCATGTGCTTCACATTTTAAAGAAAACAAAATGGTGCTCTGGAATTCAGCTATAGAAACCTCTGGGAAAACTATACTATAAAGTAGATACTACTTTATACTAACTATACTACTTTATACTAACTATAAAGTAGAGTGTCATAATGTTACAACTCATTTGAACATCTGGACACTTGAGCTGTACAGAAACTACTAAGAATTTTCCTCAGACAGAATGCCGCAAAGACAGTCTACTACAGCCTAATGGCTTATTAATGCCCATAATAATACATAGTTTAAAGTGTAGAAGAGAATTAACCAATAAATGTACCTACTATTTAAGCTGTTTAAATTTTAATTTGCCCTCTGTTAGTTCCTTTTCTCATCACAGTGATTACTGCCTTTGAAGCATTGTCATCGGGCCACATTTAAAATTGTAATATCACTCTTAAAAAAGGTCAAACATTTAGACAGCTACACCAGTTTAAAGCCCCATTTTAATGTCTTTTTAATTAAACATGCAATTTGTCAGTGTTATGGAAGTATTCACGATACACATGATCATATATACACTATATGACAATAGTATTGGAACACACCTCCTAATTATTGAGTTCAGGTGTTTCAGCCACACCCATTGCTAACAGATGGCTAAAAGTGGTGTAAAGCACGCTGCCACTGAACTCTGGAGCAGTGGAAACGTATTTTATGGAGTGACGAATCATGCTTCTCTATCTGGCAGTCTGATGGACAAGTCTGGGTTTAACGAGTGCCAGAAGAACGTTACCTGCCTGACTGCTTTGTGCCAACTGTAAAGTTTGGTAGAAGGTGGGATAATGCTATGGGGTTGTTTTTCAGGGGAGGGCCTAGTGCCTCTTAGTTCCAGGGATGGGAAATCTTAATGCTTCAGCGTACCAAGACATTTTGGACAATTGTATGCTTCCAACTTTGTGGGAACAGTTTTCTGTTCCAGCATGACTCTGCCACAGTGCACAAAGCATTGTCCGTAAAGGTGTGGCTGGGTGAGTTTGGTGTGGAAGAATTTGACTGGCCCACAAAGAGCCCTGACCTCAGCCCCATCGAACACCTACATGAACTACAACAGAGATTGCGAGACCTCACAAATCAGTGTCTCACCTCACAAATGCTCTTCTGGATGAATGGGCAAAACTTCCCACAGACTCACTTCAAAATCTCGTAGAAAGCTTCCCAGAAGAGGGGAAGATTTTATAGCTGCAAAGGGGGGTCAAAGTCCATATTATTGCCTGTGGATTTAGACTGGGACATCATAAAAGCTGCTGTGGGTATAATGTGTAGGTGTCCCAACACTTTTGCCCATATAGTGTACTACCGTTGTATTTTATTACCAACTGCATGTTTTTCTGAAGCAAATGGCATCATTTGTGTATCAGAGTTGGACTGAACCAGCCAGTAAGAAGGACATAATGCAAGTTTAATGATGTGCTGGACAGCTACGTCTGACTTCAGCTCTGGGTTCATCTGAAGAGACAGTGGTGCAGGGTATATTTTTATCTGTCTTGACTTGTACAAGCACTAACATAGTGCATTTGAGTCAGCAGTGCGGTTCAGCAAATAGAAAAACTGAGCATGCACTCTTGTCATCACAATACTATGTCTCTTTTGTGAGGGGTAAAACTTTTACAGAGGTGATGGTCTCAGATAAACACTCCCTAACAGTCTTGTTCATATTAGGCAAGCATAGATATTAGCATTACATTTGTCTATTTCCATTCTTGAAAAGAACATGTTAGATTACACAATCAAGCATAGAAAATCAAAGCAAAAATGTTAACACTGCCCACAAATCACTGGTTCATCCACATTTGATTTTCACCTGGTCTGCATTCTTTTGTACTTTCTATAATGTCGAGGTCAAAGAGCAAGAATATTGTTCACTTGTTTATCAAATCCATTTTAGACATGTTTAGTTTTTTAAACAGTTGTGAGATTGCAAATAATATTTAGATTTGCCTTAAATTCCTGTGGGGAACATTTATTCCAGGGTGTGCTGCAGCACCCCCCAGTAAAGGGGCAGCCAGTGCCCAATATTAATGTTAAAGGGGAATCCCACTGATTTGAGAAGTAAACAAAGTGATTCAGAGTGGTTTGATATGCAATGGTGCATTATAGAAAAATTTACTTATTTATTTAGCATATCTATAACTCAAACATAGATATTTTATTTACTGTCCAACATGACCAGTGAGCCTATCTTCCTTATGTATGTATTGTTGATATTGTTGATTTAAAAAAACAAAGCATTCTTTGGGGACTATTTTGTCTTAAAACACCTGGCATGTACCTCCCTGCCCGGAGGTGTTAAAACATATTTTAAGCCAAAACTTTATCTTATAACCATCATAAAACAACTTCTCTGGTATCAGGCAGCGTATTTGCACTGGTCTGGCTTTATCTGATCATGAAGCTGTAGTGCCGTCATGGTTTGTATATGTAATGTCAATGAAGGTAAAATAGTGGTAAATCTGAAAAAATAAGTTTTCTTTAGATACATGTGTGTATTGTGAAAAATATGTTTTAGACCAAAACCTTACCTTAGAGCTATCATAAAACAATGTCTCAGACAACAAGCTGCATATTAATAACCATTTCATGTAACATCTAAACAGTGTAATTATGCTAAAATTTTTAAAATTCAGCAGAATTCCCCTTTAAAGTTGTGGATTCAATTAGCTGAAGTGAACTGAATGTTGCATACATTCCGTCACATTCATGATAGCAGCCATGAGTAACAAAAAGAGAAACTGTAATTATGTGTTATAGGAAGTGAAGTGTGGGCTGAGTATGTGATTACCTGTCTCTTTTCCCACAGGTAGAGCTGCTGGTTGAGGTGGTTCTGCTGCGCGAGTCTGCTGTCTCTCTCCTGGCTGTGGACAGACGCTCTGTGGACATACTTTTCCTGAAAGATGAGTGGAGAGAACAGAGGCATGACATGAGAAAGAGCACATACATAATTTAAAGTAGGTTCTAAGAGCATTAGTTAAGAGTATAAAAGACAGAAAACACTGACAAAAAGAAACACGGGGAGGGAGGGGTTAAACACATTGTCGTTTCAGGCTGCAGCGTGTTACTCTTTCTCTTATTAAGCTGCCATAGAGATTTTAGTTTATAAAAGTTGGAAACATCTTATTGGTTTGTAAATAATTAGTGGCATAAATGTATTTTTCCCTTTTGACTGAAAGGGGACACTAGTGCTCATTTGAATAGAAAACCACAGATCCAGCAGGTTCAACAGCTCTCAGCAGGCCTAAAGGCAGATCTGGCACATTCACAGCTTTTATTACTCGGTACTGCCATCCTACGGCCATCAGGAGGAACACAGTAATGATGTAGTACAGCACCACCACCAATTATTTTTGTACCATTTAATAATAATAATAATAATAATAATAATAATTGGTCAAATTACATTTTGCTGATTTTCTAATTGAAAGTAACATAAATGCTAAAATAGGAGCTTTCTAAAATGTGAGTTTGTACGTTTGTACAGGCAGAAGTTCTGTTTTATTATTTTTTTCCAATGTGTTACATTCAACAAATAAACAGTAACTGTGCACTAAAATGTGCAGAAGGGTGTTCTCTGTAGAGGATGTTTTAACTTATTTTCACTTATTTTCAAATCAACAAAACATGCAATTTAATGAGGGGCATCCAAAGTGATCTATTTCGTAATTAGCTAAATACATATAAAATTGTCATTTATAGGGTACTTTCTATTGGGAGATGTCTGTCCCATTAAACTTGTGAAATAACACTTTTTTGTATGTTTTTTTTCAATGTTTTTTTATTCATTTAAAGTAGATTTTTTAAAGATTTAGATTGGTCATGAGTATAATTTTTAAATAAAAAAAATATATTCAGATGATGCTGTCCCACTTCTTCATGTCACTAGCGAAGTATGAAAAGCTTTAGTCCATAGGCAGAGCTTTATTTTAGCCACACACCTGCATCACTGTCCCTCATGGCCACATGGTGAGCAGTTAGATCTCCTTGTTTTGAAGTTAATGTGTCCTCAAGTCAGAAAATCAGTGTGACACCTTAGGAATTGGCACTATCGAAATACATATTTTCTGCAATTAAACAGACCTTTTTTGTGTTTTAATAAAAACATGATTATGCATGTGCAACTGTTCAAAGCTGTGTTTGCTAGTCATGTACTGGCTAGTGTTGAGTTCTGCTGAAAATTAGCTTAAACAGTCACTACTGAAACATTTGGAAGGTTTTAGTAGTGTAATGACTGGTAGTGACAAAATGAAACATTCAAACATTTGTTTTAATAAAATAAAATAAAAAAATAGAATATAAAATATACAAATATTTATAAACAAAAGAAGAAATCTCTTGTAGATTACTTTGTAAATAAGAGCACAACATGCACAAATGTAAACAACACCATGGCATAATTGTTGTATGCACATTTTGCAAGTAATGGCACAATATGAAACACTGTGCTGCAAATTATTTTTTATTCCAGGCCATTTTAACAGAACCCTTACCTCTTGATGGACATTATCACCTCCTTTTTAGGAGAGGAGGGTGATGATGGGTAGCCCCCCAACCTTTTCTGTTGGACATAGCCATTGGTTAAAGGCTTGGAAGGTAGAGCTTGCAGAATCTGACGAACTAAAAGCGGAACAGGGAAACTCAGGTGAGTTAAGCAAATGAAGCACATCCATGCTAATTTGTCTTTTTCTGTTTTGCATATAACAGTTTGAGATAACAAGATAAAAAGCAGTCCTTAAACATGCCAAAAAGAAAAGTACAGACAATAACTAGCTGTTACTGAGCTTTATAAAAATGACTATCAATATTCCTTGTGGTGTAAGATACATGATTATTGCTGTCAGTGTGCATTGGCAACAGACTGGACCTTGCCCCACCTAAAGCTCAGTTGAGATGACAGAGAGTAAAGTTGTGGTGATGAGGCTCTAACCTTTGGTGGGTGCGCCTTTTCTGCTGTTGGCCTGTGAGATCTCCTCACAGCAGCCCAGTCTGCGCAATGCATCTGCTAGAGCAGCCTTTAGCAGCTGGATCTCATCCTCCTGCAGCTGGACCCTCTGCTCCAGGTGAGAGAGACGGTCATCCATCTCCATCCCACTGCCCGCAGACAGGTTATCATCTGAGAGAGAGGGAGGGAGAGAGAAAGAGAGAGAGAGAGAGAGAGAGAGAGAGAGAGAGAGAGAGAGATAAGCAATGTCAATTGAGCTAAAAACAAACAAACAAACAAACAAAAACAGCCCGTGTTAAACAAAAGTGGAAGAAACACTTCTGTGTGTGTGTGTGTGTGTGTGTGGCAATCTAGGTCAGAATATGGGCAAATATAAACATCTGTGGAGATTATTTGGAGATTAAATGCTTTCATATGAGGCAGAAAGCAAATGGCAACATGGTAAATGTCTTGTATATGCAAAAAAGAATCACTTTTCCGTTTCTACATATGGACCATGGATCCAGAAAACAATACCAATAAATATTCATTAGTCTCCCTGTAACACTGACTACAACTAAAAATGTATTCGTCACTTCAGCATTTAGTCAGTTTTTTTATTATTTTACATACCTTTCCTGCTAATTTAATAATAATACAGTTATTTAATAACTGTACTATTATTTTTATGTTTTTAGTTGGTCTTTTTTGCCTATTATGTTATTGTCTATTATAAGTTTTTACTACCTTTTGTTTTTTTTCCCGTTGTTTTTTTCCATTGGGCTACATTTTAAATGCTTGAAATGAATAAATAAAAATATATTAGTGATAAATGGTGCAAATGATACAATAAATAAATGTAGGGTTTAATTATAAAATGCTTTGTATGCATTTGTAACCAGGGGCATAGCTAGAACATTTAGAATGGAGTGGCCAGTTAAGACCCAGAGATTGTAATGGGGTAAAAACGTTTACTTTATCAGAGGCCTACTGGAAGCCAACACTAGTTTGCAACAATGGTGAATCAGAAACAACAGTAATGCTGATTCATTCAACACAACAGGCTGGCTCACCCAAACAAAACAAAGCACAGCTCCTATTCAGCATGGCAATTAAACAGTTCCCTTCTATATCATGGCACACTTCTGAAAAAAAAACAAAGCAAAAACAAAACAAAACAAAACAAAACAAAAACAAAACAAAAAAAACAACTGGCACCTTTCTTTTGACACAGTGAACACAGCGCTAGCTTGTTTGTGATTCACACCCAAGGGCAACGCACTGAGCTGCAGGCGGTGTATCTATCTATGCATATCTAATATACCTCTCTTCAGTGTCTGCACCTGCTAACTCATGAAGATCACAGCTGTAAACCAGCTTCAGCAGGTGGCAAGCATGGCAACTGAAAGAATAAAAGTGGAAGATGGGACACAAGGTGAGAGAAAGGAGGGGAGGGGTGGGTCAGCGAAGAGGAAATGGTGATGCAGGAGGATGAAAGAGGTCGAGAGGAAACCGGAGGCTAGCGGTGAGCGAGCTTGCTGAAATATTCATTGAGAGGCAACTCCATTCCACTTTGCTTTCTCCTCCTACCTGCCATTCCAGTCTGTCAGTCAGTCAGTCAATGGGACAGCCGGTGGGCTCTACTACGCTCCAGCTTTCTCCCCAGGGGCTTTGTGGGGGTGCTCAGCAGCAGCTTCTCCCTCTCCTTACTCTTTCTGCTTGGTTGATTCTTGATTCTGTGCCTGGACCTCCGTCCGCTCCTTTCACTCCTGCCCCCTTCCCCCTCCCCCCCAAGCCTGTCCGTGCCGTCTGCAAAGGGGAGTGCTGTGTGTAACAGGACGCTACTCTTCACAGCCGTCCGCCGTACAGCAGGGCTATATAACTGCCGTTGGCCAAGGCAGAGAAGCTTGGCTAGAATCCAAACCTGCCTGATGCAGTGACCAGGCACTACCAGGAAGCGCACTGATCAGCAATCCACATCCATACAGCATCTTGACGAAGAACCTCCAAGCTCCATCTATTGATACTAGAGGACAGGTTTTTTCCATTTCATTGTAAAGAAGGATTATGAAGACATTTTCATGATGCAGAATGTTTTTTCTGAGGTTTCTAAGACAAAATGTACCAGTAGAATAAAACAGTAAAACAGTAAGGCCACATTTTTAAAAAGGCTATGAAAAACTAAATCTAGTGTATGAAAATAATAACTTATTTAAACAACAGGAAGAATTTTTTAAAAATTGGCAAAAAATTAAATGAGTAAAACAATGTAATGGTATAATAGGCTGATATGCAATCAGCTACTTGTTATTATACGGCTTATGCAGTTATTAAGAATGTAACAATATAATATTTTGTAACATTGTAGTGTATTGTGACTCGTTAGCTTGTGGTTAATGTATTAGCTTGGTACTATCATATTAGCTCATGGGCAGCAAGTTAGATTAGGTACTATTGTCATCATATCTTCAACAGTATAATGTTAAATTTGCATTTAAGAAATAAACATCTAGCATGTGTGATGTTAATATGTAAGGACGTAAGATGTGGTCCAAAATCTTTGGTGAAATCCGACCTGACTTTAAATTTCTATTTAGGCTTTACAGGGAGACGTGCAGCAGCAAATGGACACCATATTTTCATGTTTTTTTTCTCCTGAATCAGTAATGCTACTTATTTCAATTTTATTAAAAAAAGTAAAACATGAATTTCCAAAACTGTTCAAAAAATCATTAAAAGGCACTGCCTAACAAACTCCTTACAACCATCTAAACTGTGCAAGATCTGGTACACTATTAAACTCCGCTCTGAAAAATCCACAGGTGTCTCTGTCCATTCTTCCACTGTGAGAAGACAACTCAATGCCTTGTGTGTGAAAGGATGTGTAGTTGTCAAGAAAAGAAAATAGAAGAAGGAAATCAAACAAAGAAGCTGCTGATGTTCTCAGATCAATTACCAGTCCACCCCAGAGTCCAGACCTCAACATCACTGAGTGTGTTTGAGATTATTTGGCTCATGAGAAGCAAAAAATGCAACCACCTTTAAGACTGAACTTTTGAGGTGTGGAAAAATATCCCTGCAGATTTCTTTGAAAAACTGACATCAAGTCTTCTGAAAAGAACTGAAGCTGTAATAAAGGCAAAATGTGAACACGCTAAATACTGAAAAATTGGATACTAGGTTTAGTTTTTGAGGCTTCTGTGTAATATACTGTTAAATTTGTTTTCCCTGACGCTGAAAGCTGAATTACCGTTTGGACTGGAAATCAAATAAATGAAGGATGGGCTCCAATCTTTGCACAGTACTGTACTTCAATAAAATCCTTTGAAAAAGTCTGTGAGAAAAGAATAGTATGTATTTTTAACATACGCATTGCTTATATATACATAACTGCCAGACACAGTGCACCACTTACACGCTTGCATCACATTAGTCTCATGTTATGCTGTTAAATCCAACCATCCATCTGTCATTCAACCAAACCATCTGTCACAGTGACCCAGTACTCAAGCACGGCTCAAAATCGTCAAACAGTTTAACAGAGACCCACAGCCAGTCTGTTCATATTTGCAGTATATTCACAATTTCTATTTTTCTTCATTTCTCAAGTTTAAAAATGAGCTAAAAGAAGCCAGTTTTACTGTGGGTTACACTTTTGGCCAGACTGATGCCTGGACATGTGGTGCACTCACTTGGCAATAAAAGCCATGAAGCTGTGTAATAAAGCCCTGTTCTGTAACAGAGCTTAGTCAAGATATTTTTTGTCAAAAGTGAACTGCGTATCAGCCCACATACTGCAAAAACTTAGTGAAGGTTACGTGACGACAATATCTGTCAAAATATTTCAGGGTTACATTCTACATGCTTCTACATCATACTCTCTGTCTTGCATATAGCAATGGTGAACCTAGTAGTAAAAGATCTAGTCTAGTGCTATTTAATATGTCTTTATTGCAATGTTGGCCTTTGCTATACTGTTACAGCAGGCTGCAATACACAAATGATCCCTATAACGAATCATAATTATATTGTGTACTCTGCGCATCCTGACCAAAACATTTTGATATCCACATGATCCACCAAAAGTACCTTTGGTCACAAATAACCTAGTCAGTTTGATTAATCAGGATTTTTCAGAGAGCTCTCATAAGTGCACAGGCTGAAGTTGAATGATTTTTTTTTATTGTTTGAAAATATGTCAGTAAAGGTATAACAGTAATAATATTTATAGTGTTTATAGTGTATAGTGGTACTGTCTTAAGTAGCTCTGGTTCACAGAAAAATACAGTTTTCACCATTTTCCTCTTACCCCAAACACTGCCAATCGGCCAATTAGTTTGGTTCAATGGAGATATATCTCGTATACTTCGTAGCTATGAAGTAACAGAAGTCTATATCAAACAAAGTTGTTCTTTGTAAAACAGACTTCTAGCATATTAGCCTCGCAGCCCTGGAGTAAAACTAAAGAAGCAAGCTTCAGGCACCAAACATGTCTAAGACGACTGACCACATTTGGGGTGAGGAGGTTTGTGCCAATTCTAGTTTTCGGTTAACCATTCCTTTAATACACGCAAGTACTATGTATACCAACCACGCTAGGGGGAAGTGACAGCGCCAAGGCCTACGCCATATACATACTACAAGCCAAGTCACCATCTGGCAATTACCTCACCATTTTATCTCACATTGACGGTTTTACTCGCCAAAAAAATCTAGCTAACACAGACTGTGACTTCCAAGAATCACTTCACTTTGGTTGGAACAGTAAATAAGACCTTCATTTTTAGCCCACTGGGCCTGCTTATCAGCAGCTCATCACACAGAAGCTCGATAACATGGAAATATGTTTCGTGGGATGATGCCATTTACATTCAGCCTATGCAAACAACCGTAATATAAACAAATGTAGCTAGCTCAGTGTGTTAGCTACAGAACAACGTCTACTGTTGCGTTTGGCAATAACATATTAAAATGTGGCTTCGTTGTGTATTATACTAACATTTAAAAAATAGTATCATGTTACATTAGGCTACACACTCAGCAGCTAAAGCATATTTACCGCTAACAAAGCCAGGTCACTGCACCTTCACCCAGACTTACCGTTGTAATAGCGGAGCAGGAGGGAGCTCGTATCACACAGGTTGCCACACGACGCTATTCTTTCCGACATCTCTTTCTTTTCTTAAAAAAAAAAACAAATCGACAAAATGTCGACAAAGTCCCTACCTCACAAACACTGAATGTCTTGGTCCCGAGACGACTGTCACTTTCCCAACATCTGAGGAGGAGGAGAGGAGAAAGCCCCGACACCTTTCCCGGCTGCTACCTGGCTCGGCGTTGCCATGGCAACCACCTCAGCGCCGAGTGCTGAGAGCGTCATTATTTTTTCTTTCATACCCGAATTCAGACAAACCCCGCCCTTAGTTTGAAACGATTGGTTAGAAATGATTCGTCCAGCGGCTCGGATTGGCTATTGGTTTGTAGTCGTAAGCTGTCCACCAATCCTAGGGGAGATTTGTCCGAATACGGGTGGGGGGAAAATAACGTTGTGCGCTATAATGAAACACGAGAACACTTTTCCTCATGCGCTCACTGAACAGCATTCACCACTTGATAGTTCCCTTATTTCAGACATGGATGATGTCCTGGTCACAATATTGGGAATGGGCGGTTATGCTTCACACATTTTGGCTTCTCCTGCAATAATATTTTCACACCATCGATTTAATAGGCCTAACTTGGGCATTATCTGTGATACTCATATGAATAAATATGCACAAAAACAGGGAAATATGTTGCAAGATTTACTTCAACATTATCAATAATAAGGAATTATTCTGTTTCTGAGGAAATTGTGCATCATACAACTGAACACCAGGTGGCAGTGTCGCCCTTGCTAATGCTAAACAATTCTCGCACACTACAAAATTACACGTGTCTCTGAGGGAGCGTGGCTATTAATGCTGACTGAATAATCTCTTTAATTTGATATAATGAATTCAATTGATTAGATGGCCTTAATAGACTACATCAATTAAATTAAATCACACCAAGCTGACTAATGAAAATAATGAAGGAAAAAAGACTGTAGGGAACTACAGTTGGCAGATGGATACTCTATAGCCTATTCACATCAACATCAGAAGGCAAAAGCTGTTTAGTTGTATTGCTAATGTCATTTGAGAGTTTCAGAGTGCATCCGGACACCTGAGCAAAGCACATTTCACAGATTGCCTGATGCATATCCAGGCTGGAAGAAAGCCAGCAGCTCCAGACCTCGCTGAGAGTTCATGCTCTGTTTTCTGCTTTGTTCTCATTGGCATCCAGCTGTGCTAGGAATGTGGAAATCTCATTGCTTTCAATTAATATGCAGCAATGTGTGCCCTTTCATTCAAAATAATACCCATCTCCTTGTGCACATGTCTGCAGCTGCCGGGGAAGTTTATCAAACAGTATGCATTTCTTTAATTCTGTAATCTATATGAAAAGGTGTTTGTAAAGGAAACAAGTGTTAGTCATACAAAAATATGAAGGGCACAGCTGAACTGTAATCAGTTCAGAGAACCCTTTCAAATGTTTCGGGAAAGTGGAAAAGCACTACAGTGTGTCAAGCAATGCAATGCTTTATGAAAAGCCATTTTTAACTAAAGCCTAAGTTCCTCAGCTCTGCTGTCCAATACTTTTAAACATTGCATACTATGTGAATTTTCATTAGTCTCTTTATTTATGTGTTTGTGTGGAGGGGCACCCACTGGTGTCTGAATTGGTATAAATAGGATGCTCACTGGCGGTTTGGAGAATTAGGGGTAATGCACACAACAGAGTGAACTTACTGATAGAGTTATGGGTGTTTCTTCATCTACAATCTGAAGTGAGGCTTTCACGTTAAAGAGCCCATATCATAATTTTTTCTTGCATTTTATTTTGTTTCCTAAGCACCACATCTAACATTTGTATGGGTTTATGTACCAAACACAGTCATAATTAATTTCTCCATGACCATTTTCCAACCTTTTTATATGTTAGAATGAAACAGGTTGTTTTTGTTACTGTGCTTTTAAGACTGATATATGTTAATGAGCCCTGTCCTGATTGGATGCCCTGTATTGGGTCTCATTCAAAAAGCAGTCTGGGCTGAAAAAGTCCTTATTACTTCAGCATGAAAAGAGCTAAACTGCTGTAGGGGATATGGTTTCCATGACATCACAAAAACTGTTAATTTAAAACAGTCGGTACTTGCAGCTTAGTTTCACTATATGAACTGAATGGAATGGGATGGGATTACATGCAATATTAAACTTTTATTGTAAAAAAAAAAAATTGAGGAAAATTTGGTTTTCCATGAAACATAAGTGTGCCATAATCATTTGAAATAATCCTTTGAAATGATATTTCTAAGTTGTATTGACTCCATACACCCCGTCTCATCTCCAGGCTTTTTACTTTATTGTTCTGTTAAAATATTAGGTTATGAAAAGGTACAAATATGTACTTTTCACCTAGAAAAACGTATTTAAGGTTCACGATTGGACCTTAAAATGATTGTTGTACCTTTGAGGGTACATTTACACTGTTTGTACCTTGATGAACGAAAATGTACCTGCACAGTACATTTATTTCTAACAGTGTATGTGCTGTAATGTCATGCTGCATAGAGGTCACTTATTTTACAACTTAATATCGTTCTCACAGACTTTCATGTAATTGTTTTCTACAGCTAGAAGCTATAAACTGGGTCTGTTTTAATGTGGAAACTGCATTTGTGTGACATACTGCAAAAAAACGCTGAGACTGCTGTGGACTTTTGAATAATTCACTTGACAATGTACACATTAGCTATTTTTGGCTCATTTTAGCAGCAGTGTGGCCTCTGTTTGGTCTGCTTACTGCCCACCGTAGCGTGTTCTCTTCCAATAAGGCCAGGCTGTGAGGCCCCTTTCATTGCTTGATTTGAAACATCCATTGTGCACTTTTTGTTTTTGTTTGTTTTCTCTTTTCCTTCATGTTTCCTGTGAGAGAAGAGCCTGAACAAAACAGATGGGATCATTAGACCATGCCACTGGTGGCTGCACGTTACAAAATCTGACTTGATTGACTAACTCTCTGTCAACTTTTAGAATGCTCTGTTGTGCCTCAGGCTTTATGAACTGAGAGCAATTACTCCATTTGTAAGTTGTGCCAGGTCACTGGCCTTTAAGAGAGGATGATTTGTTTCATACAAACATTGAGCTTGTGGCTTTGTAGTCGAATGAACCTGCAATTTCTGTGGATGGATTATGTTAACATGATCTCACATTTTGTTTTGATCTCACTGTTACAAGAGAAATTCATTTAAATTAATTGCTATGAATAGATCACCATGTCAAAGTGTTAGGCCGGTCTCATTAATATGAGGATGCCTATTTGGAATAGAATATGAGGATGCCTAATTGAGATAGGAAACAACATGCCTAATTGGTATCAAATATAAGGATGCTTAATTGGATTCTACAGAAAAAGAGAGAGAAGTAAGATCATCATTTCTTTTGAACCTCTTCACTGCCTCTTCTGTACTTCTGAAGCTCCACTGAAAACCACAGTGATGGTCTCCCCAGCTCTAATTTACTGAAAGAAGAGACAGTATCGTTTATTTTTCTGGGTATAGTTTTGTAGTGTTTTTCCGAAGTGTTCTGTTGCAATGCCAAAAGCTGATTTCCCAAGTGAAGCCAATCCTAATTGTGACTTGAAAGATACACATCAAATCATGCACATTATAACTAGGAGAATATGATAGGCATTTACAAAATTGCCACGTTATCGGTGTATAAAAGGGGGCATCTTTATATTTCTATTCTAAAACCTGTTACGAACAAATCCTGCAAGCTTTGTGGGTAGTTTGTCTATAGGCCCGGTATCAACTTCAACCAATGATTCAGCAAATCTCACATTTTTATAATTTTCCCCTTACCCTAAATGTAGTCAGTCTACCAAGATATGTTTAGTGTTTGATGTTTGCTCCTTTAGTTTTGCATTGAAACTACAAGGCTAACAAGTACAGGAAGTGTATCAGTCCCATCAATCTCATCCTGTAGACTATGCCACACACTAACCTTGCACTGTGTCAAGTTAAGTTGACAAAATTCAGTACAGATAACACTAAGGGTGGAGGGTGGAGTGTCAGGGTGGTCATACTGTGTTTCTGTAAAAGCAGAAAAACACAAGGCGCACACTGTGTCTTTTTTGAAAAGCTGGTTTTGGCCCGTCAATCAGCTGTGCTAGATAGCTATCGTTTCAATATGTATAGGCCTAAAGTTTACTTAATGCAATTAACTAGCAAGCAACAGCTAGCAAAAGCAAGCAAGACGAAAAAAGGCTGTTTTTTCGTTTATGACTTCTATCCATGAAATCATACACCTCTGGTTCAGTGGCTGTAACCACTAATCTTTCCTCCCTAACTGTTGCTGAAGGCCCATCTTTCTCTGGATCTGGCTGGTTAGCACAGCAAAAATTACATAGGCTACTTGACCGATTTTTCAACTCCGTGTGCCTGGAGCACTCCGCACAAAAGACAGCCATGCAGGAACCATACAAACACAAGGTGCCCAGTGAACAACATTTCCCACTGAAAACAAGCACTTTGCAAAAAAACTTGTACAGTGTTAGCCCCCCATGTTATACAGTGTCAGAAGCCACATAAACAAGTCTATTTGAGATTACTTAACTTACTTAACAACTTGATACAGCTTGATTTTAGACATGCAGTTTACATGATGTTAATGGGTGGGCACACGCTGCCATGAGGCCTACATGTTAGCTACATTAGCCTTTATCAGAAATAAAACTGCAAAGCTTAAAAAGGCCATATTTTGGTGGAATGGCTGTATTTGGGGTAAGGAGAAGTTAGATTTTTGCCTGAACCACCACTTTAAAGAACAGATTAAGTCCCACACCCACATGCTTTTCTGCGCTTGACATTTGCTCTATACTGTACAGCTTCATGGACTCTGCATATGGCCAGCCTGCAGCCATTTTCTCTTCACTCCACAGTTCCTCTCTAGCTGTGATTCAGACATGTTTCTGCTAAAGTTACAAACCTTGTCCCTGATCCAGCTCCATTCAAGCATACTTGATGTCTCATTTAAACCCCAAGTTCTTCACTACACGACACATAAGTGCTCCAGGCGGAAACCTCTTATGTGATGTAATGAAACATAGGAAGCAACTACAAATGATCTGGAATGCATACTCGTGGCTTCTGTTCACTTGTGGGACTTGCTTGTTTCTTCCTAATGAAATGCCTTTAGTAGCTTATGGACGCCTGCACAGCACTTTTACTGTGCTACT